TGTACACTGGACAGGACTCAGAAAATCTGAACTGTCCAGGTGAAAACTGGACGGTTGGCAACCCTATGGACAGTTGACCTAATATTTTGTATATTGCTTTTAATAAGAGCAGTCACCGACAAAGTTAATTAATTTACATTTTTTTTTTTAATTCGGAATGTGTAAGTTTAGATGGCTTACTTGAAATATCTTTGAAAGCTTATCGTTTGAGACCATTGTTAATTTTTAGTGGTTTTAAAGTTTTTTCATCCAATTTATTGTGTTTGTGATCTTTAAAACTATCAATAACTGTGTTGGAATCATTGATTTTCAAATAGCTCTTACATGTACTTAATGAGCAAGTCCTACGCGGGATTGCATTTTTTTTAACATTTTATGGAATCAAAATTTGTAATCATTAGAAATAAAAATTGTTTTATTACGTTTACTTTTCATTACGTCCATTATAATGCTGATATATGTGTGCTTATATGCTAACAATAACTAAATAATGATGCATGATTGTATGTATAGGTAATATGGAAAACTAGTCTAATAATATACGAGGGACTCAATTTACCGCTTTCATTTCTTTACAAGGGACAAAATTCACCACTTTAATTTTTTTTTAAAGGGACTCAATTCACCGCTTTTGAAAAACAGTAATGTAGTTTGGGACTCAATTAACCTACGCCCAAAAGGATACTACACCCGAAATGTGTTGTCTCCGTCTTACTAAGTAAGGGGTAAAGGTAAAAATTATATATTCATCAACAACTTTATTAGTTTTTCTTTTCTTTCTTGAATACGTTTTAGAATGTGTTATGCGTATACCTTCATATATTTTAGACTATACCACTTATAATAATAATTTAATTACCCTGGTCCCATATAAGGAGAGCCCATTGCTTGCATATGATTCATCATAGGATTATAAGGTGGCATGACAGATGGACCAGCTGGATTTGAATACTCTGGTTTCTTCTTTATAGGTGGTCCAGTGTCATCATCACTATCTGATCGAGTRCCTACAATAATAGTTAATATAAATATATGATTATTCTTTTTTTAATTGCAAATTATAATATTTACATTAAATTAAAATAATAGGTACATCAAAAATATATTTTTGTTTGTTAATTTATAAAAATTTGATGTCATCATGATTTTATATTATATTACCTTTACTACCAGACTTTTGTCGTTCGTGTTCTTTCATATCATCCTCTGGAATTCCTTCCATTCCATAAATTTCTATTTCAATATTAGAACGATGTGAAAGTGCATTGGGCACTTTGTCTATTGTTTCTTTATGTACCTGAAAACAAATGTTAAATTTATAAAATAATTTTTTGTTACCTTAAAAGTTACCAAGTTACAAAAAATTTAATTTATTTAAAAAACTTAAGGGTCGAGAATTTTAGAAATATTAACATTCAAATTATAATTTAAAACTAAATAAATTTAGAAAACAAGTTATAAAATAGTTAAACAAATTTAATAATTCTAGGTGTATTRGTAATTAATTAATAATTTACTAACCTGCATACAATGAATCGATAAACCAGGACCAGTGTATAGTTTTTTATGACATATATGGCATTTAAAATGTTTTGCTTTTTGATGCTGAATTAAAATTTTTTCATCATCAAATTCACGATTACAATACCTTAATATTTAATTTAGGATCAAATATACTCAATAATTTTGATAGTTAATAGAATATTAAACTAACTAGATATTACTCTTAATTTAGGTAGTTAAATTAATAGTAAAATTTATTTTTTAAAAACAATATTTTAACTAAGAGTCTTAACAAAAAAGATTCAATCTATCCCAATTAAAGTTAAAATAATTATGCCCATGATATCAAATTAGCATACTTATATAAGAAGCTCCCTAGTGTATAAGTAATTTGGATACATATTCTATTCAACTTTATTTGACACCAGTATATTAGTATACCAGGCTATTAGGGATATTATGCTCTATTATTATTGAATTGCAGTAAAAGTTGGAAGTATAAAAAGTCTGCTATACAGTGTGATCACTAGAGCGCGGATTTCTATGCAATTGCATATTTTTTTCCTTTTAATATTTTTGGATTGTTGTCAGTTATGTCCACRAATCATCAAAATTTGAAGCGAATGGTGATTTTTTTTTGCATATTTTGGCAAAATCCAAAATTTATTGCATATTGAAGCAAAAATTTAAAAAAATTTAAAAAAATGTATAAAATAAAATAAAGTAGAAAAATTAAAACTAAAATTTATAGTCACTAAATAATAATTTATGTATACATTTATTTAAACCTTTACAAGATAAATAATCGATTAYGACGTAAAGTAATGCTGTGTCAGTTGGTTATCGACATAACACTCAACACTCAGTTACATCGGTTAGGTAGCTCGAAGATCTTTATCAAGAYCCGACAATACTAAGTTGCTTTAAATATGCCACAATAACTTCGGTTGACGTCGAATGTTCGTTCTCAGTCTTTAAAAATATGTTAACCAATAAACGACACAGCATCACAGAAGAAAAACTTGAAATGCATGTGATTATTCATTTGAATAATGAATAAAATTTTAAAAATAAATTAAGGTTTTCAGAAAATTCCCTTAATGTTTTTAATTAAGTATTTCAATAAAAAATAAGTTTTACTGTAAATTTTAAATAAATAAAAATGTTTGTGTATTTTTTTACATATTATCATGATTTTAACTGCATATTATATGGCATAATTCAATACTTATAAGTGCATACAAATCCGCGCTCTAGTGATCACGGTATTATATACCACTGAATATGTCAGTATGAAGCCATTATATTGAAATGGAGTTTTCAGGAGGTAATGAGGAGCATTGCCATTCCCAGGTTTTGCAAGGCTCAGAACATAAGAATTCGAGGCCCTGTACTTACAATATTAAATGCTAAAATGTTTGGAAATATTTTATTTACCAGATAGGTATATTATAATATTATATACACATGAGGCCCTGGGTATGTACCCAGTTTGCCCAACCCTCGGGACACATCACTGATGAGAAGTAGTTAAATACATATTTTGATACCAATTTCAAAATTTTTGCTCTCTAGGCACGCTCATGTATAATACAACTTCAGACTTATAAAACAAAATACAGTCAGCATATGATATTTTAAGTGAGAACCAAATTAAGAGGCAACTTCGACTGAATTTTTGAAACGACTGAAATTGTTCAGAACATTATGGCAAAAACTTTGAACAATTCATACGATAAATTTTATTTTTATTGCACGAATTATGTATAAATCTAAATTTTGACTTACTCTAACTTAGTCTGTTTTGAAAATAGAAAAATATGTTTACACA